GCTTTAAATGATAGAAAGATATTCTCTTTATTTCGATGCTTTCGTATTCCTATTTCTATACAATTATTGTTATTTTTGTGCGAAAATTGAAATTTATTATCTATTATAATCATTTTACATGTATTTCCATTCATTAACGGCTCTATATTATCTGCCAATTTCATTCCCCGAAAGTTAATGAACCAATTTTAAACATACCATTGAATATAAAAATTTATTAACCATTATTTTTAAAAATCAATTTGATTAGTTGCCAAAGAATCAGCAACAACATTTAAGCATAATATACTACCGTATACAGTATTCTAGTATTCTCATAATGAAAGTCTAAGAAAATGTAATGTTATACTGTTTACTACCGGTATATCATATTCTATCAGAATATTCCATATTTTCAAATGAAGTTATAAACTAAGTTATGATTGTTTTGTATATTAATACAGGATTGTACGAATAATCAATATATTTTTATATTCATTAATTAATTAATATATGATGATATTTAAGTTAGAATACATATTTATGAATGATATTATTTACCGAATAGACATCATTGCCCATATATTATTTGAATGAATTTCTACTATCATACTAACTCGTAAGAAAAAATAGTTATGACGAGTACTATACTTATATAATTGAATTGAGAGCCGTTATTGAATTAGAAATAGTTTGCATTCATTTGGGTTTAAGTTTACGATAGGATTAAATGTTTCGTTTACAGGAAGGAGACGACAAACAGAACTCTTAGATGAAGGGAAGGAAAGCATGTCTTTTACTTATTAACTATGAATCCAATCCTCAAATGAAAGGTATTCTTGTTTTCTGTCAAAGATTTTATTTTGTTTTTTATTTGAATCATTGATTATAAATAAAGTTGAGACTTAAAGAGACTGAATACAAATTGAAAGACTTGTCATTCCGCACAAGTGATCAATCATTCAATCATTGAATTCTTGTTGTCATTCTCTTCACATGAATTGTATTTTATTTAACATTAATTCAGAATTAATTCAAATTTCAGGATATGTTTGAGTCAACAGAAGAGAACATTGAATGTTATGACAAAAGTGAGCCACAAGTCTATCACCAGAATCTGAAACTACAGTCAAAGTTAAGTCTGAGAGAACTGACGCCTAGCATAGAGATGAAGACTTTCGAAGTGGGATCACTGGACTCGAGCGACACATACCTGAGCTGTTGTACTCATCCCTTCACCTCTTTAGCCGATCTCACGGAAGACACCAACGAAGACAACTCGAGAGCAGAACTTTTGCATAACGTTTACATAAACCCAATGGAAGTGATGGCCCATCAAAGTAACAATGAATTGAATTTCCAACACTTTTTAGTCGGAGTGCCTCTCAATCACAACAAATCCGATGATATGTTAACCAAAAAACTAAATGTGATTTTATCGGATCAACTCTGCAACGACTCCTCATCGACGACATCCACTTCATCGCCACTCATCAAAAAGCCTAAATTTCTTCAGGGATTGAGAACTCGATTCGATGAGTCAAATGCCATCGCAAAGGACTTCCACGAAATGGCTAAACAGAAGATTAAGTCTCCGTTCCTTCCCTACAGAGGTATACAATGTCTTTAGACTCGAATATTGAGCCGATTATAAGATTTATATTTAATGTATTGATGGTTAGGCCGAACTGGTAGTGGAAGCAAAGCCTCACTTCTCATATCAGACCTAAACTCTGATAATCTGAAGCATAAAAAGTCTATTTTAAAGAAAAACGACTCAAACAGTCAGAGCAGAGAAGAAATGGAAAGATTATTACCGGAGACACCCAAACATGCAATGAACAGGGTTTCCACTACTCCTCAAACCCTATCACTAAACCCCACAACGAGTCTATCTTTGCCATCGCGTCCGGCCACTGGTTTTCTCACACCTCAGACATCAAGTCCTTCAGCGCTCAGTCTATCAGTGAATGAAAGCACTAACAAAACGGTTCGGCCGTCACTCAAACAAATCGGATCGAGTAAAGCAGGCAAACAAATCACTCCTCCCCCGGTCTCCATCTCAACGCCGACCCCTCCGGCGCTACTTCCTATGCCTCCAATTGTTCCTCCAATACCTATATTCCAGACCACATCCACCACAAGACTTATCGGTGCCGTCGCTCCCATTCAGTTGTCAGCGAAGGGTTCACTGAAGAAAGCGGACACACCATTAGTCCGGTGCTCTAATCCCATCTGTTATTACAACCGCGTGTGTCGGGCGACACCTCTATGCGCCGGTTGTGGTCACAGAATCGAGACTTTCAAAGACTCAAACGATTCAAAACCACATTCAGTTCCTCTGACACCGACGACCCCTGATTCCAAACATGACCAGAATATGAGTCGCCAGCCATCCAACGAGTCGGCCCCTCCAGCCTATTCATAATGTCTATGATATTAGTCTAACATTTCTCAATTCAAACACAATTAACGAATAATTAATACCATTTTGTTTAACAAAAAAAAAGTATTGTAAAGAACTAAACATTTTGTGTCATTGCATATAATACACGGTAATATAGGAGTTCCCGTATAATTATAATATATAAAACTTCTAATAAGTCATACAATTGTTGCGATGCATAACATAAATGAAATCTAATTTATTTTATGTTAAATTCTCATTGATTCAAACAGTTTTTTAAAAACTTATTTAAAAGGGATTGACAT